GGTGGCAGCATAATTCCACGCTGCTGGTAGGAGCACGGTGCAGCTGTGCAAAATCAGAATGTTTGATGTTGTTTATTGTTTAAGGCGTCACTTTCCTCTCTAACAGCCTAATGAAGGGATGTTGACTTCATTTGCACGGGTCCACTGACTGTTGCAAGCTTGACTTTTAATTGATCGAATGAGGTGAAATAAATCAACAAACTGGGATTTTGCCCTTTACATTATAAATGTACATTCTGTTTATAACTATTTATATAAATTCTACAAGGTTGCCTAACAGTGACACAGTGAATTATTATATTTTGTATTATACTTATATATGCTACATTGAATTATATGATTAGTTCTTAGGGGGTTTCACTTATAACACTATATGTGAGAAAACATAGCATCATATCCAGTTTAATTACTAAAATTAAAAACATAAATTTTATAAGCTCTTAGGAGTGGCAAGACATGGTCTCTAACCGAGCAGGAACCAACTAATTCATTGTTAGAAGTAAAATTAGTATGCCAACAACGAACATAGACTAAAACTGAAAAGTTAGAAAACCAACTAAACTCTAAGTAAAATAAATGAAACTTTATGATGTTCGGAAGATAGTCTGTTTCAAGCCCTGACAAGTAGCAAAGGGTTCTTGAAATAAATTATGAAAACCACCTTTGCTTCAGAAACTAAACGTAAGAGAATGTTCTTGTGGACTCTGAGATATGATGCTCATGTCTACCTAAGTGAGGATGGTGATTGGAGGGACAGGGTGGTAAAGGCCACAGAGTCATAGGAGAGCAAAGAATTGTAGGCATGGGAATGCCACTGTTTAATGGGCGAGGAAACGGAAGTCCGTTCATAAAGGAGACAGAGATGCAGGTCAGCCCCCCTGGACCCGGGGTCCTGGGCCTCAGAGCAGCGCCCCCTTTTGTTATCTCATAAAAAAACAACTCAGTGTAGATGTTTCTCTCTTCTCCTGGAGAGAGACATGGCATTTTCAGCTCAGGAGGTTTTCATCACAGGGGTCCTCAAACTACGGCCCGTGGGCCACATGCAAATACAAATATTGTATTTGTTCCCGTTTTGTTTTTTTACTTCAAAATAAGATATGTGCAGTGTGCATAGGAATTTGTTCATAGTTTTTTTTTTAAACTATAGTCCGGCCCTCCAACGGTCTGAAGGACAGTGAACTGGCCCCCTGTTTAAAAAGTTTGAGAACCCCTGAAGGATCTTTGGGAACTTTATGAGGTATGAACAAGTTTGAAAATACAAAGTTTGGTTTTGTGGTTGGTTAAGAGGCTCTGAGGATAGAAAGATCTAGGGAACTGGCTAGGAAGAGAAGGAGAGGCACGGAAGAAAGATAAGCAGTGCGTGGGGAGATAGAGATAGGGCACGCCGGGAGAGAAAAACCGCAGAGGAAGAGCGAGAAGGGAGGATAATGACAGGCAGGGAGACAGAAAGGCCCCGTGAGTTTAGATTGCTGATCAGGGCTGGTGCTGTGCGCTGTTTACAGCTCTTCACCTGCTCAGGAACTTGTGCCTTTGAGCCCTCACTTCTTATCAGGTATCAGGCAGAGCGTTCTGCCAAGGGAGAATCAAAAAATGTTAGCCACAGAAACAATCGGAGCGCATCGTCTTTAGATCTTCAGAAAATCAAATCGACAGGCCACATCCTCCCTCTCCGAGTGTCTCTCCCCTTGCTTTGAAGAAAGGGCATTGCATTTCAGTCTGTCTTTTACTGTGGGGTTTGTAATCAACACTGGATTTCTTATAATAGCAAGTTCTTGATCAGTAAAGAAGATATTTTGAAATTTAACTCTTATGACCTCTCCTCATTTGAGACACACACTCTACAGAAAGGAAAAGTCACTCTAAGTCATGAGTGTGAAACTATTTAAGACAAAGGGTGACCTACCAGTGACCATGACATAGCATTTACGCTTTTAGTGATGACTTTTACAAGAAAGAAAGTCACACTAAGCCCTTGACCACCAACATGAGATGTTCATGTCACATTGGAATTTGTTCTCGCTCTTTCTGGAAAACCTCTCATCTGATATTATAATCAGTTGAAAAACCATTTATGTTCTTCACATCAGTGTGAGATGTGATATTCCAGAGAGAGTACATTCATTTTACATTTATTTGTAGCCAAAAGTGGATTAGCCTTCCTGTTTATTATTCATATGGACAGTTCATATAATCTGCATAAATGTTACTGCACTTACAGTCAAGTTATTTAATGGAGGAGAGATTTTCAGATTCATCCCTGGAATTTCCTCATCTCTAATATTTTCATTATTTTTGCCTGACCTTACCATTGCTGCTCAATTTTGTTTTTATGTGCACATAGGACATTGTCACCTGAATACAAGGTTTGGACACAGGGATCAGAGGCATCGGAGATACATGCTATGAGGTGTCTGTTATGTGTAGGTACAATGCTCAGTAGAGAAAAGGTGGGAATAACAATTCTTGGCCTTAGAGGCTCATAATGCACTTGAGAAGACAGATCACATGCATAAGGAAAAAAATTTAATGCTACCATTTATTTACTAGACACTGGTATACCTTTTCATCTTAGTTTTCTTTCAGTAATTGGAAACCAAACTGAGAAGAGAAAGTATTTTCTTATTCTACTCAGATATACTTCCATGGGGTGAACACAGCACATAAACTTTCTCATTTATCGTCAGAATATTGCCTCTGAAGTAGATACTATTATCCTCATTTTCTAAATTGAGGCTCAGAGAATTTAAGTTGCTCAATGATTGTAACTCTTCTTTATTTTGTAAAAATAGGCTTTTCTGTCTGCGATGAAGTGTGAATGTATATGCTTAAAATATTTCTGTGAAAAACTCCCAATTCAAGTATGCTTATTGGCTATATTTGAAATACTTCTTATGTAGTCCATCTATATTTTTCTCATAAGTTTGACTTATTTTCATTTGAGAGGATATTTGGTTTCCAAATGGAGAAATAATTTTAACTTATAGGAGTGGAGAAACCAGAGACATACAGAAATTGGTGTGTATCTTAAAAGAGAGTTTTAATTATAAGGACCTCTTAAATCTAAAGCTGTTCCCTTTGGTATAAGCCAGCGATTTTCAACCTTTTTCATCTCATGGCACATAAACTAATTACTAAAATCCTGCTGCACACCAAAAAAGATATTGTAGTTTCTGCTGCTATGACAGAAAAAAAAAGGTGTAATTTTGATTCATTCACACCGGATGACTATTGTCATATTGGCTGTTGTAATTTTTTTTTAATTTAACAATCTAAGGAAAAAGGGGTTAGTGTTCCTGACTAAATAGTCAGGAATTGCATGTTTAAAAAATTCTTGCAGCACACGGTTAACAATCACTGGTATAAACCATTTACTGTGTGAAACGTGGTGTTTTCATTAAAAGTGGTGTTTTGGATGAATTTCTTGAAGTTCTGTGAATCTCAGCAAAACATTATAGGGGGAGATCACATAAGAAAATGGCTTGCTTCTGTAGGTCAGAATAAAGAATACTAGGTCAGCAAGAAGGAATGTTAGAGCAGCGATGCCTTAAAGATTGGTACAAGGAGAAAAGGGATGTGGAAAAAAAGAATATACACACAGACATATACACATGTACACTGATATCCTATATCCACACAAACCTAAGCATAGATACTTTGCTTTTTTGGCAACTGATCCTAATAATTCCATTTAGGTGTTTTCTGGCCATATACATTAGCCCTACTAGATCTTTTGTCAGCCATATTCTTGAAAACAAAGAATTGATTCATTATTTATCATTTATAAAACCCTCACAATATATAGGTACTGTGGTCAGTGATAAGGACATAATAACAGAGAAGATAGTCTTTGTCTTCAAGAGCACCCAACATCCTGTGGGAAAGGCGTTGTTGCAGTGGTATGATGAAATAGAAGAGACATTCACAGAGAATTCCTAGAGGAGGGTTATCATGGAGGGTTTCTGGAAGAGGTGATGTCTGAGCTGAGTCTGGAAGAGCAAGCAGCAGTTAGTCAAAAAGAAGTGGGAAAAGTGGAGGCTCTTCCAGTACACAGCATGAAGAAAGACCGAATACACACTGGGGTGGCTGGAATGTAGTGATGAGGGACAGATGAGAGGTGAGGGTGAAGAGGTAGGCCAGGTTTAACTGGACTAAGGGCTAACTGGACTTTGCACTGCTATTAACAGTGAGCCTTTGTAGGATTGAAAGCATGGCAAGGCCAACCTTGTATCTTAATGGGTCTTTCTGGTGACTGTGTGGACAATGGGCTTTAGGTAGACAAAACCAGAGTTTGGGATCCAGTTAAGAGGCTGATGTAAAAATGCCGGCAAGAGATGCTGAGGGTTTGAACCAGCATCATGGTTCAAAGGGTAATGGGAACAGGGCAATGGTGGCGAGGGCTTACGCATATTTAGGAGGTACAGTTGGTTAAGTAAGACCAAGTACTTATTTGGATGTGGATGGATGGATTAATCAGGATTTTTCAGAGTTCTATTTTGGGTGGCTGGGCATGGGGGTGCGGAGGGCCCTAAATCTAGGTGGAGCAGGAACAGGGACTGGTGTGGCCAGTTGGAGGTATGGTTGGTTTAGTTTAAGGTTTATCTAGGAAGAGGTGATCAGCACATGGATATTTTAGTCTGGAGCTTGAGAAAGAGGTCTTTGGTGGCCGATCTGGGAGCTGCCCACCTATAGGTGTATTAATTTGAATATACAGCCTCTTTTGCGTAGTACATTTGTTGTCTTCTCCTGACTTGTATCTTAAAGCAAAGATTCACATCCCCATAAATACATAATATTAATAAGATACCTCCTTGTTGTGCATAATAACAGAGTGATCCCATAGAAGGGAACATGCTTTAGGAAAAGTGCAAGTAACCAGATGGTTGTTGGTTTTTTTCCAGTGTGGCCGTGGAAATGCCCGCCTCACAGGGATGTCACTTTAGCTGACCTTCCACGGCTCATTGTGTTGAAGACTCTGGCTCCACGGCTCTGTTCAGTTCAAAATGGCAGAAAAGGCTCCCCCGGGGTTAAACAGGAAGACTTCAAGGTCAACACTCTCTCTTCCACCAGAACCTGTGGACATTGTCCGGAGCAAAACGTGTTCACGGAGAGTCAAAATCAATGTGGGGGGCCTGAACCACGAGGTCCTGTGGAGAACGTTGGACCGACTGCCCAGGACACGCCTGGGGAAGCTGCGAGACTGCAACACGCACGAGAGCCTCCTGGAGGTGTGCGATGACTACAACCTGAACGAAAATGAGTACTTCTTTGATCGGCATCCAGGCGCCTTCACTTCCATTTTGAATTTCTACCGGACAGGGAAACTCCATATGATGGAAGAAATGTGTGCTCTCTCCTTCGGCCAGGAGCTAGATTACTGGGGCATTGATGAGATCTACCTGGAGTCCTGTTGCCAAGCCAGGTATCACCAAAAGAAAGAGCAAATGAATGAAGAACTGAGGCGTGAGGCAGAGACCATGCGAGAGCGGGAGGGAGAAGAATTCGATAACACCTGCTGCCCCGAGAAAAGGAAGAAGCTGTGGGACTTGCTGGAGAAACCCAACTCCTCGGTGGCTGCAAAGGTAAGAAAAGCGTGGCGTCGCTTCGCGGTGTGTGGTCAGGGGAGGTGCTGCCTACATTCCAGAGGGTGTGGTTTTCTTCCTTGATGATGTCTTGGGAAGGCAGAACAAACATGGCTACAGAGATGGCGAGGAATTCTTTCCAAAATCTTATTTAGTCACGTAGCATTATTCTGCCTGTGTAATGCCATCAAATGGCGTTACTCTTTCATAGATGTTATTATGTCTGAACAGTCTGGGCAACAGAGAATGGAGGAGTCTGGTTGCCCTGCGCTGTGTGTTGATGTCTTGGAGGTCGAGGAGAAATCACTAGCTCAGATCCATCAGGCAGGGAGTCTTCAGGCCCATCCTGAGGAAAGGCAAGGTGTTGTCTTTGAGCATGGAGGAGGTGCCTCCTGGCCTGGTTCTCTAGAAGGCAGGGAAGGAGAGGACGTGTAGCTCAGAGGGCTGGCAGCCCCTCACATGGGCTAAGGTCTAAGGTCTGTCTTATTAAGCCGTGTAAGGCACGAGTCACTGTCCAGATGTACCCATTGACCTCTCCTTGTGAGTCTACTCTGACAATGATGTTTCTGACTGTTGGGGTAGAATTCTTTCCACAACTGAGGTATCTCAGAGCTCATAAAGTGTTTGCCAAAAATGAAGATAAATTCATATGTTTCCACTGTGCCTGCATACATCCAAATCTCAGAGTAAATGTGTTGTTGGTTTTTGCCAGTAATGTCAGTATTTAATTCAACTGCGTGCTTCTGTTTATCTAATTTTATTTGGAGGTTTACACTGATTTTTATCCCATATATTTAGTTTTATATTGCAATATAAATTATGAGTAAGAAGTCAAAAGACTCATCTTCAGCTACAGAAATATAGTATTGATATTTTGTATGAAAATGGAATATGGAATAAAGAAAAAAGTGTGTCCTCATACGAATTATTTAAATTACTTACAGTTTCTTCAATTATCCTTTCTTATAAGCAGTAAAGAATAAAAACTATAATATTCTGTATGCGCCTTTTGACTGAAATTAGGATTTCACATGATAACCTGCGACATATAAATAATGGAAATAGATGACCATAAAATTTCTCATTTGACATGTCTGGTTTTGCGTCTTGTTGACTTCTAAAGGCATTTTACTTTACTAAATGAAATAAACTGTATTTCTGTCATACCTAATGAGGAAATGTGCATTTTGCGGCAAATGGAAGGTTTGTTTGTTATGAATCATTTGTTTCCCTGGTAGAAAGAAATAGATGTATTATATCTGTGGGGTTTGGTTTAAAGGTTACTGCTCTTTCCAATTTAAAGTGTTTAGTTATGGCCGAAAGTTACTCCTAAAAATATGGAGTGAATTTTGAAGATGAATGAGATAAGCTCTGGATTTAAGGGAGTATTTTGGGTGTTAAATTAATTCTTGCAAGTCTTTAGGCAATTGAGAGATAAATCATCATTCCACCAACTGTTCCAGAGGGAGTTAGCCAATTATGTGAAAATATGCAGTTAAATCAAAGAAAACTTGAAAGTTTAATGCAGTTTATTTGCTTATAACAGCATTATTAACCCATATCTAAAATTAAGTACTGCTATAGAAAATTTTTTTAAATATACACATATTTTTTTCTGAAGAATTTCTAGTAAAGATGGAATAGGGTCAATAACTTTCTTTCCCAGATGGGGCAGTTCATTAAATCTCCAAATTTTAGAAGCAGCAGCCTTCTCTTAATATCTAAGAAGGTAATGTTGATAATGGGTTATTACAATATGTTATTATATTCCCCTGTGTATCAGCTAGATTGCTTAAACTTCCTTCAAATTATGTACGCACAGAGAAGACACTTACTCTCAAACTACACACAGCAGCTAAGGCCACTGGGTTGGAAATTTTTAAGCAGTTATAAATAATAAAGTTGTTTCCAAATTATTAATCGAGCTAAGCAAATCTTTGCTAACCTAAGTAGAGTCTTTACTAAGTTTTCATAAAGGGTCTGTGTTTGTTTGTTTGAGTGTCTGCCTTTTCCTCTCTGTTTGAATGGTGAAATATTGTGGAAATTCTTTACATTTGATTATATGGCGCTTAGTGAAGGCTTTGTTCATTTGTCTGAGGCTTGGAACCTTTGGAAAACAGCTCTGTATGGTGCCTTCTCTGAACCACTACCTTTTCCTGTACTCTTCTCAAGTCTATAACTTGGTATTTCTCCAGAATAATCCTTGGTGGTGGGGGTGCTAATGCAAGGTTTGTACGAATAGTATTTTTACAACTTAGGAACAATTGAAATAATTATTTTGTTAAAGCTGCAGTGGGATGATACTCTAGCCCAGGGGTGAGCAAACTTTTTGACTCGAGGGCCACAATGGGTTCTTAAACTGGACCGGAGGGCCGGAACAAAAGCATGGATGGAGTGTTTGTGTGAACTAATATAAATTCAAAGTAAACATCATTACATAAAAAGGTACGGTCTTTTTTTTTTTAGTTTTATTCATTTCAAACGGGCCGGATCCGGCCCACCGGCCGTAGTTTGCCCATGGCTGAAGCCCTTGCTATTAATAATATGGCCACATCAGGATCTTATGCTTATGAAGCTCATGTGTTGGGATATTTGTAATCTCTGTATTTTCCTAACTTGCTTAGGAGGTAAGATTGGAAGAGAATATTGTTTGCTTTGCCTTTTCAATTATTGTTCATCCAGTTTGGTGATTCGGTTGAAAATATATGGAATGTTCTCTGTGCACTGCAGACATTAAAATACACAGGCAGAAAGACGCTCCCTTCTCTCCAGAACTTAAAAATACATCCTTTTAGCTTAAACAAGGATTTCATATCCTTGAAAAGATTTGTTTATTTTTCTTTTGGTTTGTCTATATTTTATAATTTATCTATAATATCTCTGTAATAAAGAATAAAAGTTATGAGAGTACTTGTCAGTTCCCTAGCATAGAAGGAAAAACGTCATGTTTTCTATCAAATATTCCACAATAGGATAAAATAGCTATTCATTAACATGGAATGAATACTCAGTAATCAATTAATCAGTAATTCTTCAGCCACGCTGTGTGCGTCCGCTGTGATACCCAAAGTTACTGCGGGGCCCATTGATCTGTCATCCTCTGGCTTTGGCTGTGATCTTTGACAATAACAATTTGGCTCTTACAGAACATGCTTCTTGATGTCACTCTATGGATTGAACTTTGTGGCATATTAGTAACTAAAAAAAAATGCTAAAACAGAGTTTAAAGTTCAGTGTATTTGAAATGACTGCATTAAACAAAATAACATTTTTACATATACACAAAATACCGTGGAATGTAATTGTATTTTTGACAAATTAATGACAGGGCTAATAGAAATTGTTAGTGTATAATTTTCTATGGTTTGGGATGGTCTGGCAGTGCGACAGGAGTTTATCTCTGTGTGATAGATAGACTTGGATCTTCAGTCCTTGGGACTGTGTGTGTGTGTGTGTGTGTGTGTGTGTGTATGTGTACTGTATGTACACCCTCATGGAGAGGTAATGCACAGAGTTTACACTGGGCTGGCACAGATGGCAGGGTTGCCACGACGTGCCATTGCTGGCTCTGGGATGCCTTTCATGGGAACATGCAAGGGCAGGAGATGGGCTTGCCCGGCGGCCAGTTTCCTGGGCAGTGAGCTGGAATTTGACTTGCCCCTGTATGTCCCTCCAGCTTGGGGCAATTTAGTCAGCCTCTGGATCAGACACATTTTTCCCTTATTGTTGGCCTCTTCCCAAAGGAACCACAGAAACTGTTTGTCTGTAAATATTGCCACCGCGACATCAGGCCTCCAGGTGTTGGAAAGCATGTCAGGCGTTGAAATGCGGTATTATCAGCCTCCGTGAGGAGAGAGCCACCAGGAAGGGCACAGCCCGCCTGCTAGCTGAAAGGAGCTAGACTCCTCAGTGTCACGGGCACCCTCACTCTGCATCTCTGAAGAAGGTCAAGAACACAGGAAGTCAACCAGCAGTTCTTCAAGCCAATCCAGTGAGGAACCCAGACACGTAGGTGGACATGGTGTTTGGGACAATGCCAAGTGTCAGGCCAAGAAGCTCATCTGTCAGCAGCTCTTATGGGATAAGCACCACATGAGGCAAAATCTTCCCAAGGCATCATGTTCATCCGAACCAGTACAGTGAGAGCCACCAGCATCCCTGGTGGCCAGGGTCCAGGGCTGAGTGGGGGCACTTTATTATCTGCTTCCCTCTCCCCAACTTCCCTCTTTATCCACAGCTGCCACTATTACCTGAGGACTCTTCCCTCATCTTCTTACATTTCCCCCCATTCTTTGTTCCTCCATCCCTCCCTGTCCCTTCCCTAGCTCAGGAGAGGGAAAATGATTGATAGAGAATTATTTCTCAATCTTTTTTCATTAATGGCCCCCTGAGAAGAAAATTTAAATTAAATTCTCCCTAAAGGGAAAGACTAAACACTAAGGAATAATATTTGCCAGGTAGGGTGGAGTTTGGAGGGCTACAAACTATTGGAATGTCTAAGATCTCTTCCCCCCACAAGAATCAATTTACTTCATTGGCAGCAGCATTCTATGGAAACTGCATGGAGTGGGGGGAGCGGGGAGAGATGACCGTGTTTCCTGCCTCATGGCCACAACCATCGACGTGGCCGGCCCAGCGCAGCACCTGAAGCAGGCATGGGAAGGGTCGGAGACCTTAGTCATATTCAGATCAAGAGGGAAGCCAGTGGTGGCAGGAGTAGGACTCTGCCCCTGGAACTCCCGATTCCCGGAGAGCCAGAGAGCCCTGTGGGTGTGAGTCTCCCAGGGGAGGTGCCCGCTTGGGTGTCCCGCTGGTGGTAAGTCCTTGAGGACCACACTCCCTCTTCTAACTAAATTAGAGTGTGTGCCTTTCAGGTCACAGAAATAGTAAAATGAAAATAAATCCAAATAAAACAAGGACTCCTGTGTACTCACCAAGGGGAAAAGAATGCGTAACATTCTATTTATAGTGTGTGGGTCAGTTCTTCTAATGCTTTGAAT